TGATCAATGGGAAGGTCGGGATACCTTTGGTCGAAAATGAGTCTAGACTATGGAATTCAGATTTCCAAAGTGCAAAAGTTGGATTCTGTCGGCCAGAATACTCAGGAAGGCGGGGGGTAGCCATATGAGTTAGCAGTGAGGGGACTCTAGAGTCGAGGTCTCTTCGGGACTAGGGCCATGATATTAAAGAAAAATAAATAATACTTAGATTTCTAAAATTCGGGTGATAATTTTCGTCACGAGCCTGACACGATGTTGTAAGTCTTGAGGTTAGAGTGTTGAAATATCGTAAGAAGACATAATGAATGTATTTATTATTTCCTTTTTATTAAATTTCTATTTTACCTGGCGTTAGAATTTTATCGGAAAACTATCTAAATGAAAATGAAATAAATGGAAATAAGTAAATCTTATTTGGCAAAATATTCAAGTAATAAATCATACGATAATCTAAATTGCAGAAAGTTTACGAAGTTATAATATTATTCCGGCGTCTACGCAGGAGGCCTGTGAGCATTCTCCGTGTGAAATTTCCATGTGAATAATCTTGTTCGCCTTGTCGTTAGAATGCTACATTAATTCCACTTCCTTAACGATCGAAATCTATAAGACGAAGATGTTTTCCTTCCGTTTCTAAATCATTTCGAATCGCAGTGAGCCGACGTGAAATTGATTATTACGCCTTTTTAATCATTTCGCGATCAACAAACTTAATAAAATCATGTAGATCTCTAGAGCACGCAGTCCGACTAATAAAAAAGAGCACAATAAAATTTTTACCAGGATATTGATATCATAAAAATAATTTCTGGAAACGCCAAGTAATTTCCTCTATAATATATTTTACAACAATTCTTCGTAATTCTCTAATCTGTATCAGGAAATGATGTTCTTGAGTATAAACATTAACCCATTCTTCTATGATATCATGTCAGATATTTTCATGGATATGTATGTAATATGATGTAACGAAAATAAGAAGACTACGCGTAGATATGGGAAAATATACGTGTTGTGTAAGCCAACAGAACAAATAAAACTATGAGTACATAAAAGTAAATTGAATCACGTAAATTTCTACGATTACATTTATTATGTTTCCACGAGTATTTATGGTCCGTGAATATTAATATCTTGTATGCCTTTGTTATTTATTACAATTTGTAGCCTATTTAGGACACTATTAACTCGTAAATTCTACAGTATAGAATATAGTTCGAAAGTATTTAGACATGATGGAATGGAATCAAAAGATTTACAGCTTCATTGTAAAGCGAATATCCATAAGTACCTAATTCTCACTGACCTTTCACGTATATTACAAATATTTAAATTTCCTTAGTGTAATCAAATTGATACGTAAAAATATTCCTTTAATTCGCCAATTATCATTTCATCGTTTCATATCTACTACTGATTTATTTAATCTTTTTCTATCTTCAACTATTAACTAGTTAATATCTAGGGATTTTCTATTATCCAAAGCGAAATATTCAAGAAAACAGAATATAAAATTACAAATAATTATTTCCTTGGATTCGATCAATACGATGATTTTCATAGAAAAAAATACTCTATCGAGTAGAAAGATAATGTATCTAAAAAATGTAAGACAAGCAGATTCTTTTAAAATTTAACCGAGCATTACTGTAGCTTCCGCGTCCCCAGAATTCGGTAGACATCACATCCCTGAATTTCAGAGATGTAAAAAATATACGTTTTAACCCTCAATTTTAAGGGGTGTTTTCACCCGTTCAAAGTAGATGTTTGGCTAATAAGGAAAAATACATGTCAAATATATTCATGAGAAAACATGTTTCACATAAGTCTCATCAAAATCGACGTGTGCTGGTTGAAAAGGTTCCCTTGTTCAATATTTATATAAGAAGAAGATTTCTCGTTACCGGAACGCGATACGTTAGCAGTGTCAGCGATTTTCCGCGGCAAGCGGGAACATTTCATTTCTCGCGATGAATGGGGATTGATCGGCGATCCGCGCGAAATGAAATTTCTACGCGAAAGTGATCTCTTGACCTTTCCGCACGCGCCGTAAACTATGGCGGCCAAGTCTGAGCCGAAGAACCAATATTAACATCAATATTTACATACGTCGTTGAAAGGTTTATGCAACGCTCCGTGGGGATGCTTGTTCCATCGAATCCACGTTCTGCCGCGAGTCCGTCCGTGTCGCAGCGACGTGAAAGTGTCGTTATTACCGATTGGCATCAACGGATCGTAAATCGTACTGCGCGTAGATATATTTGTTTTTGCGGAATCGCGCGAAACAGATACATTCGTCAATTTTATTCGTCCGCGTGTCGAATATAAACTAAACATTCCACGATCCTTTCATGATTTACGATCATCGCGATTTATGTACGATCGTTTTATCGCGGGGGTCCTGAACCTGAGGAGATATTGTGAACATTCACTTTTCATTATTACAATTTATACGGTTAATTAAAACCCACCAGTGAGAGTACAGGAGAAATCATTTCGAAGAATCTTGTAGAATTTCTTGGGACTTTTGTGCTAGTATTTTATTACGATGCCAACGTCTGTTCGTTACAGATAGAAATAATCTGTCTAATACACTATCACTAGAGTATAACTAAGGAAGTGGCAAACCTCATCAATTTTCTAATACAAGAAAAAATATAATAAAAATAGTAGAATAGAAATGATGATCGCTTATAACCACAGCAGTTGTTGCAATGTTAAACATGATTTAAAAGAAAAGGAAAACGAATCTTGAAATGAGTCATCTTGTCCTGTCTAGTAATTCTAGTGTTAAAGCAATGTCAACCGGACATCAACTTTCCATGAAATTTCAATGAAATTTCAATGAAATTTTCATCACGCGAGAACATTAATGATTTAACCACACAGTAGATGTCTCATAGAGGTTATTCGTCTTCCGACGAAGTGGGGTCAGATGCCAGGTATTTTCATTGATCGGCACAAGTATCGTCATCAATCTTCATTAGCCTGTTGAAATTCCGTAGTCTGAACAACGGTAATATAACTGACATAACGTGGAACGATACAGGACATGGAGTAAATTACGCGTGCCCGTGCGTCGATCATTATTGTACGCCTCTATATCGTTACTTTCTTTTTCGAGCCGTCATCGGGTATCAGAACTCTTTGCTTACTTCGCCTTAACAACAACTCTCGTTTTGTTCTCCATTAAATCGAAGAACATCGCGGCTCGGAAATTAATCATTTCTGTTCACCGCTTTAATGTCATAGTGTATATCCGCATTTAATCGCAAAGGCAACGGCAGATAGATGGATCGACAGCGAATCTATTAACATCTACCAGTTGAGCAACGATACGATTCCGAAAAATCGATGCCCGTCTGCTGTGCAACACCTGAACAACCACGTCTTTGGGAATTTTTTTTAATGCAGCCACGAGTGATTGCGGGTAATGGACACTGTAACGATGATGAATGTTGTGGCTGATAATCGATTAATTATGCCGAGATTTCTTTCCGACTTTGACTGATGAAGTTTGAACTTCGTTGCCTTGTAAATGGGTGAACGAGTCTTGCTTTTTTAATATTTGAAATGTTATAAACTTCCTTTTTACGCTGAGATACAATATATTTGGATATGTGATGAACAGTCGTTGAAGCAAAAGTATTTAAATGTTTTCATTGTGACGATGAAGGTAGTGTTACAAATGTTTTATATATATAAATGAATTGATAAAAATAAGTTTTCCTAGTAAGATTATGTTGAGCTTAAAATTACCTTAAACTTTATTATATTTAAAGCTAATTACCGACTTCTTTGAATTAAGCTTAGATTACTACTCCTTCAAAATGTTTATATCTAATTATTGACAATATTGAAACAAATTATTAATTTTAAACGAAAGTTTTTACGTTTTATAATATTCACATAATTATAATCATATCATAAAAATATATCGAAGAGAACTTCATTAACTTCTACCCTAACCAAAATTTCAAGCTGAATTAATCTAACAAAAGTTTAATCTTTTTTATGTTTAAGTCATTAAACTTTTTAATATTTTTACAATTAGTTAATTTTGATTAAGAAAGTGAAATAAATGTTTTGAGTATTATAGAGTATTTAAGACACATTCAAAGAAAAATAAGTTCCATGGATCTACAGAATTGAACTAAATTTCTGAATCTAGCCTTTTTACAGCTTTCACTGTAACATTGCGTGCAGCACATTGCGTAACGCGATTGCAGAGCGTTTCAACCTTCACTACTTTTTTACGCTCGCTGGCCGAAATCAATTTATAGACTACGGAGTGTTTGAAACACGAATCTCAAACAATTTTAGAATTTCCAACGAATTCCGTGGAATTTCCTTAAAACAAACACGCGTGCCACGTGCTCTTGTTAGAGAGCAACGAACTAGGCATAAACAAATTTATTCGCACCGGCTTGGGGTGCTAAAATTAAATTATTCACCGGATACTTCCGCTTATTATTATTGATCACCGATTTAACTACAGAACATTTTACAGACTTTGCAGAGAAATTGTACAATTGATACACGTTTTCTTTGTAATACAAGATATCTCTAAAGTTAATTATTTTTTAAAATTTCCATATTAGCGAATTTAATAACAAATTCAAAACAGAAATTAGAGAAAAGGAATATTTTCTCAAATCATCGAATAAAATGTACAATTTTAAGCAACAGCTTTAAAATTACTAATAACTAGTTTCAACTAATATATGAAATATGCATTAATATTACAAATATTGAATTTACATGAAATGTACCTCTTAGTAAGTATAAAATATCTAGTAACAAGTATACAATAGTTCAGTTAGAAGGAAGAAGACAATATATAACTATAACTCTGCGACGACAATAACGGTCCGCTAAATTACAGGTTATTCAATAGAGTATAGTATACAGTTAATAGATCGCTCTATTCAAAGTAAAACTGATTACAAGGCTCGCGTTTCCCGTTCCACAAATCTGTTTTTATAGAATCACGAAACTTTGCAAATTACTCGAAAGTATATTGCATTTACTAAAAAATATGTTACATTACATGTACAATTATAACAAAAAATATACGAAAGACATAAGTCGGAATAATGATAAAACGAAAAAGTTACACACATTATATACTGAACACATAAATTCTATACAATTTTAGGAAAATGAATAGAAAACAGATTATAAACTTTTTTTCAATTATAAATTTGTCCTAAAAATTCTGAGATTAAAAAGAAATGAAGAATACACACACGTGTAAAATAAATTTACGCTTCGTGAACATATGAATGAAACATATGAAGATAGTTACAGTAGTTCTTTCATTCATAAACCATTATGTATGTATTTTATGTACTCAAACGTAATCAATATGTATACTGGAATGTATTACATTGATTTTTACGATATGTACTGGTGTAAATCGATTTAAATTTATACTAAAACGGTGCTTCGTTCAAAAACATTTTAGTTCACATCCTCTATTAACTTCTAAACATACAGTCTGTTAAGTTGTAACACAAATAAATTCAACTGCAGGTAAAAACATGTTTTAATTCTAAGAATTTAGTTATAATGATTTTACTGTAATTCATTTGCTATTTAATATTTGGCCCAGCCAATTTCATTAGATCGAAATAATTATATTATACTATATATTCCGTTTAGAATCTTAAAAAAATCACTTACTTTTGTTATTGTTTTATTATCTTATCTAATTACAACTAATCCATTTTTTATACTCGTTTAATTCTATTACCTAAACTATTTTTACCTCTAATACATATAACAATTTTTATTATTTATAGTTTACGCTTGATCAATTATTTTCTACTCAGACACGTGTTTCCACAGTATAATTATAAATTCACAATGTTTTACATGATACACTGGATAAACTACAACTGGGAAATCAAGTTAAAACGAAATTGCTGAATACAGCAATTTTCATCCTGAGGAACTAAATTCCACATGAAAATGTGGAGAACGAAAATTGTTAAAATATTACTATGTACATTATACTAGATAATACTATAGTTGTACATATGATTGTCCGGCACGTATCATGTTTTGTGTCGAGATGCAATTAAGGAGGGAGAGAACGAGAGAAAGAAGAAGACAGAGAACTCGGTAGAAAGATACGGAACCAACACGAACGAGTCGAGTTCTTGACGCCCACCCAGTCACACAACAAGGAGTAGAAAGACAATCGGGCTGAAACTGAACGTACAGTGTAACGTCTCGTCTCGGGGAAAGTATTAAATAATTTTGCAGTTTTTGCAACAGAATTACAACATCGCGAACAAGAAATCGCTGCAAAAATCACAGGTATTAATAATTTATGATCTACGTCTGCTTGAATCGTTCGGAAAGACCTATGCTAGTTATGTATTTCAAGCATGATAGAAGTAATTATTTACTATTACTATCATTCATACTGTACGCCTGTTTAAGTGTCAGCTGTCGTCCGTTTCCGTTAACAGTAAAGACGTGTTTCCGGCTTTACAAACGGAAAGGATAAACGTATATAAATCGATTCGTTGTGTTAATGAGTCTTCCGATGAATATATACGCATTCAATTATTTCATTTAATATCGTAGCATTTTTTTCATCTCATCCTATAAAAACTTTCTTTGATTTATTTAGGACGAAATGTATCAAATCACGTATCATCAATCTGCAGTATTATTTCCACGAAATACATATACTTAAACATTTTAATTTTAAACTGTTTTAATAAATATTAAACTTATTATTTTATCTCTAAATTCACAACTAAGATTCTATAAAAATGAATTTTCTATGTGACTCACCATGTGTTCCACTGCTTTTTCCTCCAATTCTGCTAAAGTCCAATCTATGTGAAAACTCAAAGGTTGAAGACGAGATTCCATCTCACGAAGCCATTTTCTCAAACACTTTACTTCATGTTCAAAATCTATAATACATTTTCAAGTGAATTGAAGAAATATGATTCCGAACTTTAATACATTACAATTAGAATGCAGATGTGTACGCAAATTTCCATTTTCGTAAATTAATGAGGAAAAACTAAAAATAACATGGAATATTATCTTTCACATTAACAGCTTTAGGGAATTAAATACTATATAATTGCAATAAACTCAATGAGATTTTATATTTTATTAATTTTTGGAAATTTGTATGACTTACAAATGCATAAATATTCACAGTCTATTCACATTTAAGAAACTAACTTACCTGCTGATATGTCCTGTTGATTGGATATTGGCCGCTCAACAGGTGCCATAATTTGTTCTACTAATTCCCATTTTGCATTCAAATGGTCAACACGCCACGCTACTTCATCTTTTAAAGCAGGGGCACGTGACACTAATTTTCCAGCTTGTTCATTAAATAACTTTCTTCTGTAAGCCCTACGTCGCAGCTCCTCCATGTGAGCCTAAAATATAGATATTATTTTTATTATTATGCCATTACTTAAACAATTATCGCTGACACAAGTAAGTTTCGTTATTATAACTGAATATATCCAAGTAATACATACCGCACGCAGACTTTTATCTAGCAGATTTTCTTCTTTAGAATAAACTAATTCTTGAAGAACTGATAACCATGAATATAATTCTGAGAACTGACTGCTAACTTCTTTTAGACTCCAGGATTGTGTAGATACATCAGTCTCATCCCATATTAATTCACCGTTGGCTTCCTGTTAGTATTACAGAAATAGTTATGATATCATGTGTTGAGTCAAAACATGTATTAAATTAAATTACATCACATACATAAAATGAAGTACATACCTTACAACTATCTATTAAATTAGTACTCATAATATAATCATAATTAGATCGTATTGCTGCCCAAAAGTCATCTTTGCAGTCTTCTCGATTTGTCCACAAACGCTGATTAGAAAATTGCTTAGGATCTTTCCTATAATATAAATAAATATATCATGACATAATCACTTCAATATACAAATTAGTTCATTTTCAAGAAATTCTTATAGTACATTTAATAACATAAGCGAAGAAGAATTATATATGATAGATGTAGAATACAAAACAAACCGTTTCTTTGTGAGGCTGTTGTATGGTCTTTCTATCGCCATTCCCACTTGGCCATGCTTGTCTAAGCCGTGACCGAGTGGCTGAAGCGATGATAAAGAAAAGCTCATCTTCATGGCTTTGCAGTGGTCTAAAATAAATAGAATATATACTTAAAATATCATTTCATTACAATAATACTTCAAAATGGAAATAGCAAGATTAGTTATATGATACATGCAAAAGCTATATTATAATTTCAAGTAAAAATTAAATTCCCAAACATTAGTCTGCATATAAAAAATATTGATACGGATACAAAATCACTTAAATGATATTTTCAATGTAAACATATTTATAAAACAGTTTAAAGGAAATATTATATACAATAAAGTGCTTACCACAAAAACAAAGGAGTATTCAAATCTAAATAATTAATATTTGGCTATTTACTTCATAAAAATTTAATATGATTTTATATCATTTCAATATTATGAAACATTTACTGAAGGTGGTGTACATAACATTTCTACTTATAGGTTTCAGCTTGCATTAGAAACAAAGGTAGTTATATTTAGCACTATTTAAATTTACAAGCAGACAACAAAAGAGATAAGAGTACAACCTGAAGATAAGTGTGCAGAAAAAGTGCTTTGTGATCATTTAATACTGTCATAAGTATTTTTGCCATAATTCACCTACCAAGCATGGTAAACTGTATCCCAGGTACACGGAAATATTAAACAAATTAACAATTGTGTATCACGCCATTTTTCAATTTCTAAGTTAAATGTTACTTTCTTTTTTTTCTATTTTAATGCGTGAAATGCAGCACTACGTAAAATTTCTTCAGACTGTGTTATCTCGAACACATTGGTCAGTCACACGTGTAGGTACAACATTTGGGCGTGTGATGTGTACACACCGTGTACACATGTATTTCGTCCAGGTAAGGTGGCATAGTGAATGTTTTTATCAGAAATACAAGAGGCCTCGTATGAACTCCGGCTTAAGTTACGAGATAAGTACATAAAGAAATTACAGAATCGTCTCGAAAGTATTCATGACACCCACCGGAATACTCACTCCCATTCTTATCGTAAGCAGTCATGAAATAAAGTTAACATTCTTAGAAACGGTCTCACTATAAAAGCATTATTCAGCACACGAGAAAAAAACGTGATTGAGGAAACCGGAGAACGTTGCAACGAGAACTCGAGTTGGAGGGGCTGCACTCCACTGCATACATCCAAGGTAGTAGCTTCTTGCCTTGCAAGTAAGTATGCAAACAATATATCGATACGCCAAAGGACATCGATACACCTGTCTCAAGCCACTTGTCTGAATCCGATTCGAACATATTTTATTCGATGTTGATTACGCATCGACACCTCCGTCTCGATGCATCGATTTAATATTGTATCGATATCCGTGCAATACTTTTTACATTCTTTGCCGAGGGAAACGTTACTGAAAAACTTTAAGTAATACTGCGTCCACTCACTCATATTACACGCCGTGGTCCTGAACACATGGTCGGTCCATTCGGACACACTATTAATGACGTGTCGGTAACATTTACACAATTTTTAAAACAACGAGTCCGCCAATTTTTTTTTGTTAACAAAATGCCACCTTACACACTGCTGTGCACACCGACATGCACCGACGTGCACTGCCGTGACGCGCATGCGTGCCCGCGACAAATGTAAAGAGCCTATGGCTCATGGCGAATTCTCAGTAAGATATCTATTCTTGTTATTGGAGTAAAGTAGAACCAACTGACGTGCAATAAACCGAGATAGAACAGAATTAGAAGGGATATTCTTACATTTGCAATAAGAGAACGCAAATGGCCGCGACAAATTATTAGACGAAGTATTCCAAGTCGCATACTTATCATGCGATGTACGCTTATTTTCTAAATGTATTTCTATCGAGACTGTTGAACCTGCTCGAGATGAGACGTTTAAACTTTTCACGCTGAAGGGGATCGACATGTACGAAATAAAAATTCGAATGCCAAATGTTAGTAGCAGTCGTTTTATGACATAGGCTAAGTATACTGTAAATAAAAATTATACGATATAAGTAGCATATATCTTTACTGTAGTACAACTGTTCGTGCATTAATAAACGCTCAGAACAGAAAGTTTATAAATTTTGAATAATATTCGATAGGAATATTTTTAGTATTATAAATAATTATTTCTTTGTTATCTTTATAAGCATGTGTAAAGAAATAAACTTTTTGTCAGATTGTTTGCTACATATTATTTATAACATGAAAACCATAAATTTTCATATATTTTTTTATACGACACTAAATGGTTATATAACATAGTTTACTGTTATAACATTAACATATGATTCTGTAATTTCTTCAGGATTAAAAAAATTCTTTTCGCACTTCATACTACGTTTGTTTCATATTGAAACTTAGTGAAGCAAGTAAATCCTAAAATATGTACTCATCACTATTCTTAATTACTGTAATTTTTCCAAGTCATTATATTAAAATTATAATTATGTATGTGAAATATCATTCTATAGTTAAAAAATACTACTTAAATATTTTTATGTACAAACAAAAGTAACTCAAGATTATCCATAAATCACGTAATTATGAAATGAATAGTAATTTAGGAAAATATGTAGGACAGGTAACATATATAAAACAATAACGCTTGCAAATCCGCTCGTTTATTTCATATAGTTTCTCATTGAAAAACCATGACGGGAGTCAGTTTAGTATTCTTCGGCTCCTTCTCCCTCACCTTCAGCGGAATCCATACCAACCTCTTCGTAATCTTTCTCTAAAGCAGCGAGATCCTCACGTGCCTCAGAGAACTCACCCTCTTCCATACCTTCACCAACATACCAGTGTACGAATGCTCTCTTTGCATACATCAAATCAAATTTATGGTCAAGTCGTGCCCACGCTTCTGCGATAGCAGTAGTATTTGACAACATGCAGACAGCTCGTTGTACTTTGGCAAGATCACCACCCGGTACAACAGTAGGTGGTTGATAGTTAATACCAACTTTAAAACCAGTTGGACACCAATCGACAAACTGGATAGTGCGTTTTGTCTTAATAGTTGCAATAGCCGCATTAACATCCTTCGGTACAACGTCTCCTCTGTACAACATACAACAGGCCATATACTTTCCGTGGCGAGGATCGCATTTAACCATCTGATTAGCTGGTTCAAAGCAAGCATTCGTAATTTCAGCAACAGAGAGTTGTTCATGATAAGCCTTCTCTGCGGAAATAACTGGAGCATAGGTCACCAGAGGGAAGTGGATCCTTGGGTACGGTACCAAGTTTGTTTGGAATTCCGTCAGATCAACGTTAAGGGCACCATCGAAACGAAGGGAGGCAGTGATCGAAGAAACGATTTGACCAATCAGTCGGTTCAGGTTTGTGTATGTTGGTCTCTCAATATCTAAGTTACGACGACAGATATCGTAAATAGCCTCATTGTCAACCATAAATGCACAGTCGGAATGTTCTAGAGTGGTATGGGTGGTGAGAATAGAGTTATAGGGTTCGACCACAGCAGTAGAAACTTGGGGTGCAGGGTAGATTGCAAACTCCAACTTCGACTTCTTTCCATAATCCACAGAAAGGCGTTCCATCAATAGAGATGTGAAGCCAGAGCCAGTGCCACCTCCAAAGGAATGGAAGATAAGGAAACCTTGGAGTCCAGTACATTGATCTGCGAGTTTACGAATACGGTCCAAGACAAGATCAACAATTTCCTTGCCAATTGTATAATGACCACGAGCATAATTATTCGCAGCATCCTCTTTGCCTGTGATTAACTGTTCTGGATGGAAGAGCTGACGATAAGTGCCTGTGCGAACCTCATCTGAAAAGACAAGTATTTATCGATGATACACTTTGTTAGAATACACAAATTCATGAAACAACTACATATTAAATCAGGATATTATAAATTAATATTCAATGGAAGTTACGTACCGACTACTGTAGGCTCCAAGTCAATGAAAACAGCTCTGGGAACATGTTTTCCAGCACCAGTTTCACTGAAGAAAGTATTGAAACTATCGTCACCTCCTCCAATGGTTTTATCTGATGGCATTTGGCCATCAGGCTGAATCCCATGTTCCAAACAATATAATTCCCAACAGGCATTACCAATCTGGACTCCAGCCTGGCCAACGTGGATTGAGATACATTCACGCTGGAAAGAAAAAATTATTATAAGTATATTATATGATCGCACAACTGTCACTCTTCACAAAATAATCCCATAAAGAGCTCAAATATTTGAAATTATTCTAAATTCGTATATTTAATAGTTCACATAAATCACATATTACATAAAGTATGTATGTATAATACCAAAAATATGTTTAAAGTTAAAAAAATTATATTACATTTCATTTGTAACATCAAACTATTTCTACTTCATCTAAATTATGATATTTACTAAACATATCTAACAGAAAACGTCAGCCTCTTAGAAATATCGATCGCGTCAGCAAAACGACGCGCACTTCCCTCGCTCCATGATAGCGTAAAACAAAATAGAACAGTTTCCCATTTTCACAAAACTATCGTTTCCCTAAAATAAATCCATTCTGTAGACAAAATCTAAAATGAATGTATCCTTAAACAAATGCATTAAATCCATTTTAAGAATGTCGAAATGCTCGAGACGACTCATCATGAGAAGGGCGGAGCCGGCCGGTACAAGCGTCTCAATGTAACGCTGCATCCAATCAACAATATCTAACTTATGAACACGTTTTCTGCACACGAAACTACCAAGCAATATTTTCTTACCATTTTGAAGTCTGAAGAAGTGTTTTACGTCCTCGTAAAAATTGGGTAGTCGATAGTTAGAGCAAGTAATGGAGCTACTGCTATCAACCACGCACAATGCACGGATCGAACACCAAACGATTAATACGCGAGGGACGCCACGAACGAGCTCTTATACCCTCGACTATCGACTCCTTCTGCGCACGATCATTGGCCGCCAGTGACCTCACCCTTACCTCTGATTGGTCGATACACGACCGCAACACGCCAGGACGCCTTCACGCATGTTCCTTACTCGCGAAATATAGTACCACGTTTCTGTCATGCGACATTTATTTTATTGATTTTACAAATTTCAACGAGAATATTAGTATGGAATGTCCTGTTCGTTGACTCGGTAACGATTAATTGTCAATCGAATCCCCGAAAATAAGTATCATCGTAGTTGCAATACTTTATCGGCGATGAGATACGTTGGGGATTACATTTATTGCCAACGACTATTATCGAAATTGTGTTTAGAAAGTGGATATTTTGAAATGATTGTTACTGAAGAAATGAAATAATTTCACAGTAATTAGATTAAAAAAAATATAAATATGAGGTTGCAGAATGTCGCTGGCAATAAGTATGAATGTATTCATGTATGCGAAGCGTGTCCTTTGAACATTCGCGATGCGCGAATTCGACCTCATTTACAAATTGTAATCCTAATGAATGAAATGAGTCTTTGTATTATGTTACACGTTATGTAATGGATAAAATGCTAAATGTTACAGATATTTGAAGATAATAATCTCTTTAAGTTTTTTGGGGATAATTGCATTTTAATTCCGTGGGGATAGGGTTTATGGTACAGATATAATACCATAGAATTAAATGAAATTAATAATTTTTATATTCTTTATGCACTGTAGGAATTGGCTTTCACACTGCGGTACATTCTGAAATGACTGTCGTTAAGATTTCACGCTGTGCATGAACAAAGATGTTCGAGACTCTTGAGAGAAAATCGTGTAGTTGCATGAAGTAGTCCTTATTTAATTTTTTTGATAATGTCGATCTTTCAAATTGTTATTTGGCTTTTAAAAAATATTTTATTATAAGATCTGTTATTGTACGTTAAAAAAGTTTTTTATACATTTCTTTTGTCAGTAAAGTAAATATTTTATTTGTTTTTACTACGATATACAATTGCATGATTTTGTCATGTTAAAAAGCAATTTATTATTTCTTTTCGCATGGAAACAATGAAATCAAAATTTTGCGAATTATTTTGACAATGTTTCCTAAAGCTACAAACTATTTTTTGATTATTACGAAAATATATATATTCAATTTTATGATTCATTTTATCAACATTGATAGATTTTATAATATAAAATTTAAGTAGACACATTGATCGATGTATTTTGCAAATAATTAAACCTTAGATTAAACGATTTTCAAATAGTGTTCGTGCAATGAACATTCTCTTACACAGGTATATTTTACTTTTTCCTGTGGGACGAAACAAAAAATCGCGACATTTATTCTTAGTTGCAAAACTACTACAATTTCTTATGGACGTTGAACTTATCCGCTAGCTAAGAATAGACACTGATCTGCATTTGCACAGTCTTCGTACATGTATCAATCGTACTTATTCCTTAATGGTAAAATCAATTATTGGAAATGTAATTGTAGTTTTTTACCAATGATTTCATCTTTTTCCTGATATATTTAATTTGTTATTGTAAAAAAATAATTTTATTATTTCTACTGTTGTAAATTTATTTCTAGAAATATCAAATTTATTGTAACTGTATTTTGTACGGTTGTTAGATATAAGTACACATTTTGTTTTTCTTCGTTGACAATTTATGAAAATATTTTTTCTCGAGAGTGACAATAAGTAAGATCTGAGGATGGATGAGAGATATCGATGGGAGAGCGCATGTGCCACTCGACCGTTCACTTTTTCTAAAATTGGTCACAGACGGTTGGATCTCTAGTAAGGAAAGCGGTAAATCACAAAGATCATTCTTCACGAAGCATGCAGAGTGAGAAACAAAGTAATTGCGTTCAAATTATTCAACCGTGCAACAATGTCTACGCGAATTAAATGCGTAGTTTCTGAATAGAAAGCAACATAGGTACACTATGTACATATACTATTTATTGAGTGGGTACATTATAAATATTCTGTTTATTAAATAATTGTTAATTAAATTATAACTTTGTCTATAAATTTTTTAAATTTCATTAAAAATTAAAGTTGTAGTAGTGACCTGCATGATACAATTTTCTTAAAATAACTTTCTTAGCAATGCAAATGTCTCTGAAGGTTTTATGCAAATTAAACTAGATTTTCTCAACAGACATGATAAGTAATTAGTTCTTCTGATTATAAAATTATCATGTTTACCTAAAAGGATAACCATTTGAGTACAGATACATAATTTACTTTTCAAATATCGTTACAATTAGATTTATAACAAATACTATAACGTTTAAAAGCAAAATCCTATATTAAAACACCCCGGTGGCAAATTTTATTGGTTAATTCAATCCATTTTTTAACGCAAAATTTTAATCGCAATTATCGTTAGTGTAACGTTTCCTTATATTTACCTCGAGCCATGGATTTCGATTTCATGTTTTGAATTTTTGTCCCAATTACTGTTAATAGAATCTCAAACATAAAAAGCTTTAAATTATAATACCTATATATCGCGCATCAAATTCTTTTCAAATTAATTCGAAGCATTTACTTCGTTTTAAAATGCTTCGAATTTACTCCAGAAGGAAATGAAAATAATAAATAAACTCAGACTACAGGCATATCGGTTTCAAGTACGATCATGAAAGTTGATCACTGACATTAACATAATATCGACACGAATGTATCCGGTGATGTAACCTATCGACCACGCACTTCATTGTCCTTGCATCTGTACCGATCTCGTTGACCGAATATAGTAGCATCAACGTTAAGTAGCATTAAAAGAATTTCTACAAGTCTGAATATTTACAATATATTTGAATCTGTAGTTAAATAAATACTTGTTTGCGAGAATAAAATAATTTATAATATTAATATATATTAATAAACAAATATATCTTAATATTCGACTTTGACGATAAAGACGAAAAAAATCGAGGATTATACTATAACAAGTAGTTACCGAATTTGTTTAGTTTCTTAAGATTTTTTATTACAGTAATAAAACAATACCTACCTGGTTCAAAGTTGATATTCGTTATATTTTGTATGATTATTACAGGAACCGTATTTGTAATTGATTGATCTTGATGTTATTGAGATCAATAGTATTTCGATTTTTAACTCATCGATCAAGATTTCTAAATTTTCAAATCATCATTGAATTATCTGAATGATTAACTACATAGTGATATTCTCAATTTCAAACATTTCCATATCTACTACATCTCGACGGCACAGGTTTTACCGTTATGGTGAGAATTGATCACATTTATTCTTACCACGCGTGGGTTGTCTATTGCATCTATATCTTTTGAAACACATTTTTTGCTATTTAAATCATTGCATAATTCGTTAATTATAAATGTCCAGAATGGACATCAATAAGAAAAATATAAGTAAGATGGAGGAGAATTTATGGATACAGGGTCATTTTTTTATGAAACGCAAACAAAGTATGTAGTTGCTTAGTAATATGTAGAGTGCCTATAACGTGTATTTCTGAGAACAAATAAATCACATATAATTTACAAAAAGGAACTTGACGCGGCGCCTAATATTGTTCTTATCATCTGTAAATAGATAAGATATTATACGTATTTGTTAGGCGTATGAACTCTTTTTTTGTTAAAGGACCAACAATATATGCGTGTACTTGAGATACATACATGCATACTTACAAATCAAGGAAAAACCACTGTAACATGTGTTTACACTCGTGTTGGGATGAAAACATTTGATCAATGTAGGCCGTATTCGTCTTACAATATAATACAACGTAAAAAAGACAAGAAAAAGATACACCAGTATAAAGAACAATTTTTTGGCAGAGTATTGTTAAAAATCTTCGCAATGGTAGAGCGCATCATGTAGAAAGAATAGAAAAGTTGTGGAAATTTCGAAACGAGGTCTTAACTCGGATAATCTTCTTTCCGCGGTTGTTCTGGTGTTTTGTTTTCTTTTTTTTACATGATATGGTTTTACGCGCAATCGCGCGATTTTTAAATACAATATATAAAGAATAACGTTTCCCTTTCTTCTTTTATTTTTGTTCAAAACACGAGTCTCTTGATGAATTCGGAATGATATATTTGGAATCATACATTGGAACGATGAATTTGCCATCAAATGTCATTTGATTTCGTTTCCGTGAATCGGCTACCGCTGAACGCAACCTCACTTTATAAATATATTTCTTTAGTGTTCAGTTGCGAGCTGTTTGAAAAGTTGAAACGTTGAAATCATATTTTCGGTAGACGGACAAGTATAGCTGAAATTACCGTGATCTTTAGTTACTTCGGCTGTCTTAATGTCGGAGTATAATATGCCGATGTTTCCTTCGTTAATCGTTAGCAGTTAAACTTATCACTATTATCTGTTTAACTTTCCTGACTGGATACTTTTGATCTTGTTTGATATAGTTTCCCATTTTAATCGATCCACACGAATATGATTATAGTTCTTAGCGATATTACAAGTACTAGTAACTTCCTCTTGCGTTGTATTCATATTTCTACGTCTAAATTTCTTACTTTATTCTTTTATAATACTCTCTTAATTCGTTTAACACATATTATACACAATTATGATACAATAAAAGCGTGATATGTTAAAAAGAACGTTCCAAAGGAAATTTCAAAGGTGTTGAGAAGTACGTGGCACGATAAACGCGATCAGAACGGGACGATATACACATGCATATAAAGAGATAAAAAATATTACTCGGAGAACGTAGATTACATTCACACCGCGTGATCGTTAATCAGAAATTTCTAATTGAGAAACAATAAACCGTTCCTATGTATACTTTTAATCAATTTTACCGTTACAGAATGATAACAGATCGATCGTAGATCTTATCCAATTCACTGTGTATACGTAACAAACCGTTCTTTAATTCAATTAACTAATAAATACACGTCTTCTAAAATCTACATAGAACATTTCAAACGTTTTCGTTTTATCCGATAGAACCACGGATATTTTCATTTTCATAATTCATTCATTGATATCACTAACGGATTCGTGTCGATTGAATAAACTGGAACACCGTACGTATCGTTACTGATACAACGTTTCATCGGATGAAAGTACAGAGTCAAGAACGGTCGGAAAAAACACTCGAATAGCGAAATATTTGATCGGTCGTCGATCCTATGACTACATACAAAACGGCACGACGTCTACATCTAAATTTTATCTATGTACAATAAACGGTCGACGCGGGAGCCCCGAGCGCACGCGCACGCACACGCGTACGGAACAGTTCGATCGGGGCTCGCCTTTAAAATTTCTATCGCTGATTGTAGGATCGATCAGCTCTATTACTAAATTTTATATCTAGATTACCCAAATATTTGCACAAGTTGTCATTTTGGAACGCGTCCGAGGGTGGTCAGACCCTTGTCTCCCTTCGTCGTGTTACCATTATAGTTTAGAACCATTTGTCAGCATACGTTTAAGACGAAACTTCTTCAAAAGTACAACGAATGGCGAAGCACTTTCGTCAAAGAAGAAAGAAGGGCGGGGGATCGAGAGGCAGCGGGAGGAAAGTGATCTCTGCGGCTTCGTCGAATAGTCGTTTTCCTTTTTGGTACGTTCGCAGGGCAGTGTTTGTGAGAACAACGTCGAAGGAACTGAACTGTCTTTTTCTATCGACTTGTCAAGCGCCTTCTCCTCGGCACTTCATTCAAATCCCGTAAACGTTGTGGACGTAGACAATCACTTCGGCGCATTGCGATATCCTTTTCGTTCGTTCTTCGCGTTTCTTTCTTTCTTCCAAACGGAGCATGCTGTTTCAATGGAATTCAAACTTATAATTGTCAACTGTGTAGTGCAAATGCTACTTAAACGTATGATGGCACGTTTGAGCCGCCGGCAGGCTGAATGTCAAAAATCATACACGCTAATCCGAAATGGAAAGCCGTTATCTAACGCCTCGGTGATGAGAATAAGTTATCTTCGTAGAAGTTGGACTATCCACGATTCATTCTCTAGTTAGCCGCGAATCGACGCCAGGACACGGATGATCATCGGGTTACGAGATTCGCTTCGCGTTGGATATTTTCGCGGAAGAACAAGCTTGATGGCCTCGGCGATCGAGCAGAATTCGTGTGCGAGCTGCGACTCCGTTCAACGTTGGACGTACGATTGGATAACGACGTTTTTATTCGTTTTCACTTAGATCGATACTCTGCAAGACTGAATCGATGTACAAGTCGTAGGTGAGTCGATTAACGAGGCCGGCCAGGGATCAGAGGTTCTCCTCGTCGGCGTCTTCGTTCTCCGAGCCTCCATAGTTCTCGCCGCTGTCTTGCCAGTCGACAGCTACGAACATTGCTACGAACCCTTTGTTTGATATCGTGTCGTCCGTTCGGAATCTCACCAATAGCGCGTCGTTCATCGATATGAAATCCGTGGTGTTCTGAAACACGATTATGGTCATAGTAAGAATTTGAAGAAATGGAAGAGAACGGTAAGAACTGGAAATGAGGTATTGGTTTGAGTTTCAAAAAGAGATTCCTATCCAGATAAGAATTTAGACCAAGGAAACTTTTTGAACGGTACGCTACTATAGCAGCTCAATTCTTTCTCTGTCATCGATAGCTGTGCATATTATGGTCTAATCTAACGTAATTGCACAGTGGAAAATTCTATCAGTTTCAAATCGCAGTGCTACGTTTATGATATGCAGATTGCACAGAGGCTAATTCCGCCGTAGCTAAAAGGTTAAGCATATCTTGAATGATAGAAACGTCTTTTTTTGTTTGATTTTACTTTGTAAATAGTATTCAGCAGTTGTTGATTGCGAAAGCGTAATATGTTTGAAATAGTTGGATACCTACTTCCCAATATAATTTTTAAGGTGATTGAGGTCAGAAGGGAAAGCTAATTTTATATACAACGTAATGACTCCGTATAGAACAATCATTAACATATTACATTTGATATAATATAATAATTCTACAGTAAAGGTATACTTACGCTGTTACCACAGTATCGCCCGTACAAAGGACCGGAAGTGTCCAACCCAGAATAAACTTCAACGAAGTCGTAGTTGCACTCAGCCTCGTATTCAAGTTGGAACATGCGGAAAGTCAAGTGAACGTTCTTTCCAGGCTGTGCCTCGATCGCCCAATCACAGTCCGTTCTGTGGTCGTAATTATGATAGCCGTGCTTCGCATGCGAGTACAAATACTTGACTTCATCCGTTGCGACAAGGTGACCACCGCAGGCTGTGTGACACAATTATGTTAGCAACCATGGTTGTCAGCCATCTAAATTATCTAATTCTAAGTGATTAACTACTCCAAATGAAAGCCTAGGGAATTGCGAGTGGAGCGCGGCCCGCTTGATAGGTCACATGCGATTTCGATGGCCGGCTGAGATTTTATAGAAGCACGGAAAGGTTCGTGCCTCGAAAACGAGGATGAAAGCGAAACGATTTGCAACGGAGTGCTCATTTAAACGTGAATTCTGTTTAGAATAGAGTTACAAAAATATTAGGTTAGTGAAAAATCTTGTCACATTTCTGAGTGAAGCTTAAAGAAAAACGTCACTTCGTTGAATTAAGATTTATTGAACTGTGCGTTGCGTATTTTATTTGGATTCTTTCTATTTCCTCTTAATTTACTGATTTGTAATATTTATTTATACATTATAATGTAAACGTTGCATTGAAAACTAAAACAACATGACTTTTCGGCCAACCTAATAAATCCGAGGTACCATTTTAATAACTTCTTAAACAATCTTGAGAATAGCTACTCTGAATTGAAAAGTTCACTATGTTCTAATTATTTTTATCCGTTGTTACTTTTAAGACTTTTATGACATAAATAGCGCGTCTACTGTAGATATATGATTGTAATTCCCTATCTCTCCGGTGTTGAAATACAGTGTTCTATTATAGCGACCCGTAAAATATTCCGTGTTTTGTATCAGTTTGATAAGTACAACAGAAAATATTTCGGTCGACAAATCCATTATACACGGTGTCTAATTTATTATGATTGTTCCAAATAGTTCTGTTACTTATCACGAAAAGTTTAAAATAAAATTTTTACTGTTTAAAATTTAAAATAAAATTTTTACTGTTTAAAATTAAAAATTTTACTGTTTTAAAATTATTTATAAATTTAAAACAATATTTCCTATAGCAACAATTTTCCTTTTAGATCGTATAAATTTTTGTTGGAATCTCTTTGTCATATTATCAAAAATTATGGAAATATTTGGAATGGTCAAGGCAAATGAGACACATTGTTCATAATGTTCCATATTCTACAAGAATTCCATTCTTTAGATTTAAACCACAGAATAGCTACGAATATAATATTCACAATTTTGAAATATTTCCTGCACTATTATATGATTAATAGAACGATAACACCATTACATTAGATTATTTTGGTGAACATTATTATTCTACCTGTAATTTCTCAATTGCTGTTTCTTACCAGTGCTATGAGTTGCAAGGAAACCTTTCCTCTGCACGGAAACATCGCTCTTGAAAACCATGTACATTTGATTTCCTGTAGCTAGAATTGGATGAGGCTCTTTTGTACCGCAGAATTTCCCAAGGATATGACTGTCTGGAGAGTCTCCGTCGTAAATAGCGATATGATCGTAAGCACATTCTTGATGGGACTCCATTTCGAAGACTTTGAAAATCTGTGAAACATTAGATTCATTTATAATCATACATTTATTTATTCCATTTAATATGTTTTAAAAATATAGATACTGTAAATTAGGCATTTAAACTTCCTTAAATTTTCCCTTTTGTCGAATGCAGTTCAAAGTACATTTTTGATATTTCTTTACTAACAATATCATTTTACCTAAGGAAAATGTATATCAAGGATGAACTAAAAATACATTGAAGAATACGAAAATATCTCATATTTTGTTATGCTATGAACAACACATAAAAATGTTAATATAGAATCTATTAAAGCTATTACTGACACATTTCAGTATATTTTACAAAAGCGTTATAAAATATGATGAATAAAATATGAGGGTAATCAATTTTGTATCCTATATTAAACACATTAGAGTGTATAACCGAAATAGTATTAAAAAGTACTAACTAATTTAATACGATGGCCAGGTTTGGTAACAAAATGCCAAACGCAGTCCTTCAGGCTTGGATAATGATCTGGATAATTTGGCGATGTAATGGTGCCCATTGGCGCAACAATTTCGTATTTACAGCCACCCTCCTTGCAGTCGTGTCCGTTTTCATGAAGCGTGAAGCCGTTGTGACACGAACATTGATAAGAGCCTATTGTGTTTCTGCATTCGTGTTGACAGCCACCGTTATTATTTGCACACTCGTCCATGTCCGTAAAGAAAACAGCTGCAAACCCTGTTTTCTGAATACTGCGGCAAACAAACCGGGACAGTGTTTTAGCAACAGTGACACGTAAAAATACAAGTATTTATCACATTGTAAGAGTTTTTTTAATCTCTTGACCTACAATATTGTGTCAGACTCGTGACGAAAATTTTCAACTGAATTTTACCAACCTAAATGTTATTTATTCTTTTTAATTTAAATTAAATATTAATTTTCTATTATCATTCGTTACTATTTGGAGTAAATTTTTTCCTTGCCTAACTAATCATTAACGATAAAGTAGCTGTATCGATCATAGTTAAGAAATCAATCATAGGGCAAGGGGTTGAACTAAGTAATTTATCCAACTACAATTTATTTGAAGTAACTACATACCCTAATATATGTTTATAAGTTCCTCACAAATTTTACGAATTAATTGATTCATTAAAAACTGTGTAAGATAATAATTTATTATAAATATTTACATAAGTAATATCTTTGAAAATAATTACATATTTCAGTATTCGCAGAATGCTATATACACCTGATTATAAAAACTAGTGAGAAATCTCATTATAACACTTTTAGAAGAAATAATAATACCTGTTGTCAGATGTGAAAGTCACTCTCATAAAGTTTCCCACGGATGTAATTAACGGCGGCAGCCTCGAGCCACAGAAAACCCCATGCTTCCTCAGGATATCGTCACCAAGCTTACTGCTCACTTCGACGGAGTCGTATTCGCATTCTTGAGGTCGAGCTTTGTTACCTTCTAGGTCGAAGTGCGTGAAATTCAAAGTGATACGATATTGGGGGGGAGCAATGATTTCCCAAATGCATTCCTTGTTTTCGGGGTAGGTAACCGGAAATGACGGGCTGGTGATGGTTCCGTTACTGTCTTCGAAGACTCCGCCGCAAGCATCTAACAGTAAAATTATTCTAATTATAATTGGTCGATCAAATGAAATAGAAATATACAAGTTCGACTTTAAGCATTTCTTAATAGCAAAAGCAATGTTGTTTTATAAGAAAAATTTACCTTCACAGTGTTTTCCATCGGAATGTAACTCGTAACCTGGTTTACAAGCGCACTCAAAGCCACCCAAAGTGTTAATGCAGTCGTGTTCGCACCCGTGCTCAATTAGAACACATTCGTCGAATTCTATAATATTAATTAAATTTTAATAAATATGATCGTTAAACATTTTTAAGATGCTGACTGTATGTAGATCTCGTTTATGGGGTGTCCGTCCATGTCAAAGTGAAACGAAAATTAACAAAATTATATTTTCGACTTTGGTTTTATATTACTGGTGATCAAAGGTTTGCATATACTACGATGATTAGTCGCGTAGTGGTGTGTTTACGACTCCATTTAACATTATCGTTTCAATTGATTTAATTCAATTAATTTCTTGTCATTTTCAAGTTATTGAAAATCATTTTTTCAATGTTTAATGTTTTTGCTACATTGTTTCCGAATATGATTAATTGACTTTCTTTAATAATTCCTATTTATTTGAACATATAAATCGTGCTGGCACGTACGTAAAACTCTCGCGTGCATTAAGGTGTACACTCAGTCCATTTGACATTAATACATACGATAATTATCTGAACGTCCAATCTTAAGCTTATGAAAGACTGAATTGTTTATGAAAAATAAAGAACAATTCCCTTTTAAACTCTGTGCTCTACATTATGGTAATCCATTAAGTTGACATTAGTAATTATATTAATTTACTATAATGATTACAATTATGATTTTAATAATTAAGATAAAATAAAATCACCATGATATCATCATAAAGAGATCGATTAACGAATCAATGTTTAACGCTTTAAGAACGACGTCAAATTTTCCTTTCCTCGCTACGAATGTTGATCATTTAGATTGTTTCATTTTTTTCATAGCTATCTTTCATTCTAAATGGTAGAAAAAAATAGTAGTTAACCCTTCACAATATAGTATTAACTCCATCACGTGTCAATTAAAAATCAGAATACGACCGATTTTCCACCAATGTTATTATCCTTTACTTTGTACAGAAAGGAACACCAACAAATTTATACAAAACAAGACACAAAGAATGTCTCTTTTGCAAGAGGAATAGTAAAACTAATTATTTCCGATTCCTTCATATATTCATTATAATATCCAAATGCAACTATTCATCTCTAAAATCATTTCGAATATTTGACACTTTTAAGACTTCAACAATTACAAAATAACAGAACTAAAACCCGTCATCTTGACCGGTATGTTAGTCCCAGTGTTAAATATTAAAAAAGAAAATGTGTCAACCGCTACGAACAGAATACCCGAGACAATATTATGCATTAACGTCGTCCCTGAAGAGTTAAGAGACCGCGTTAACGGAACACGAACTCCTAATGGCAGGGGGTTAGTCGAAGTTCAATTGTATCGAAGTTATCGTACGCGGAATGGAATAATACCTTTCATGACCGTGGCCGAAAACCCGGCCTTCTGCACGGACACGTCGCTAACAAACTTCACCAGTAGTTTGTTCCCGGTGGATTTAATGTCCGGCGGTATTTTGTAGCCGCAGTAAACCCCGATCAATGGAGAGTCGGGGTTATGACCGTCGCGGACCTCGACGTAGTCGTACACACAATTGTCGTGATTCTCGATCTCGAAGGATTGAAACTTTAGAGCCACTTGGAAGTTCTCCGGCACGGACAACTTCCAGATGCACTCTTTGCTCGATTGGTACTCTTCCGGGTAATTCGGTGACTCTAAATGGCCGGTGCCGTCAAGCTCGACCTCGCCGCCGCAAACGGCCTCGTAGCTCGCCGTGAAGCCACGGTGCCCGCTCTGACGGCTAGACGTCACGTAGGTTACCAGCATCCGACTTCCGGTAGAGACGATGGGCTCGTGGATCTTGCCACTCCCGCAGAATCGACCTGCGTTATGATAGAAATCAATGTTACTGGCTGTAAGAATTATACTGGCGGTTTTAGGAAAAGCTGAACTCGGACAATACGAGCATCTTTTTTGGGTTACAGTGTACAATGTGTTTTCTGTTCGTTGTAAATAATACGTTCATGTTGATATTTTATTTATGCAACTTCTTTAGGACGTATAGTTGCTGGGATGACCTGCGTTATGATAGAGATCAATGTTACTGGCTATAAAGATTGCGCGGTCTTTTTTGGAAAATTTACGTGACGGTTTTAGAAAAAGTTGGACTCGAGAAATACGAGCGTTTCTCGATTTGCAATGTTGTTTCTTAGTCATTGTAAATAATGAAATATACGTTATGTTAAATATCTGTTCGAGAAAATAAAATATTGCCTTTTGTGATGCAATTGTAATTGTTTGTTAATGTAATTTACATAATGGCATTAAATTTATTAACAAAGTAACATAAATTCTGTATCTATATGTAATATTAATTATTAGAATATTAATTATTATTAGCCTGCAGATTTGTATGCACTTATGAGAAATTTAAAAATATAAAATTGTATAGACTGCACACGATGTGCAGTGCAATACCGTTTTCTATGGCAGTTCTATTTTTCTAATGATATTTTTGGAAATTTGAATTTGCGTAATGATCCGAAGTCAAATGATTATTCTCGATTTAATAAACGTGTTCTTAAAATAGCGTTCAAGTGGTTCGCTTGAAAAAATGTAAACAGTAACATCATTCTTGAAGAGATACTAGTTCACAGCGCTCTGATTACACGAAGAAGTTGTTTATTAAATCAGAAATTTTATTTAATTGGTACGATTAAGCTCTTCGCAGTTTCGTTTCTACGAGGCATACATCGATTATGAACGAAAACAGGAAGTAATCTGAAATTTTTTAGGACATTGAAAAATTTATCAAGTATAATAATAGTTATTTAATTAATTCTTGGTAATGATAATTGTTTTATCGAAACGATTTCGTTTCGTATTGAAAAGTGTAACATTTATCGAAATTGTATGCATATTTCAGAACAGCAACTTGAGTTTCGTTACTTGTTATCTGCTGAACTTTTGTTCCTATAAAAAGATGTATGAAAACAAGAATTTCCACAACAGAAGAAACAGGACAACTCTCAATTCTAGCTTTCTTTTTCATATAATAATATGTAAAGTGTCCCCAAAATCACGATAGAACTTAATAACAAATATTGAACATAAAAAACAAGTTAAAAACACAAAATACAACTTTTTCACATGGCACTACGTTCTCTAAACAATAAAAAATAAAAAGATCGCACTAAACGCGCGCATTACTACTTAGAAGTAGAAATTGCAAGTAATAAACAGACATGACAACCAATCTCAATTCATAAGCACGCACATTCATAAGCGTGAGCAATTCTTCCTACTAATACTCCTGAAAATAGTATAACAAAATAATACAATTTAAAAATGTCTCAACAGAGAAGGACACGTGCGAATGAATCTGATGTCAAGTCAGATTTTACATAAGAGTGCAAAGGTTTAACAAACATTCAGACATGATTATCTCAGAAATAAAATATTCCATAAGGAAACTTTACTCTTCTTCAAGGAACTCTTTTCCTGTTGTACAACAACTTCGGAAATACTCTGTATATCTCAACGTTTCCGTCAATTTCTTTTTTTTAACTGCGCCGTAGATAACAGTTGAGATAATCGAAGGAAATAATGCACACGACAATTTAACGAAGAAATAAGGGGATTACCGTTTGGTCGAGAATCGCTATCACCCCTCTATACGAACACACACATCAATGAGGCAATTTTTGCTCGTTAATTACCAACATACGCGACAGAATAAACACGTTCGCAACATTGGATTTCCTGTAGGAACAAGTGAAAAAAGTCCGCCGGTTATTTTCTCGCCGGCGACGAACGCAATATTCGCGGGACACGTGTGTATCGTGATATAACGGGGCTCGGGGATAAATGTAAATTTTCCAGCACGTTTATAGCTTCGTTATCATGCGTTATTCAGCTTACCTAGAACGTTACTCTTGTACCAATATCCGTCTCTAATCTCCAGGTAGTCGCTGCGACAGAAGTTGCTCTTAAATATGTCCAGCGACGTGATATTCAATACGATCCGTTCGCCGTGGGTCGCCGTGATTCGCCATTCGCATCGTTCACCCTCGATCGCTGGCGAACTGTTCGGATGAGTCGGTGACCCAAAGGTTCCGCTGTTCTCTTGAAACGTTCTGCCGCACCCTGGAAACGTAAATTAACCTTCAGGCTACTTTCACGTTATGATTCTTAAAGCGCGATTCACGTCGCCCGATACGTATAGCGCTACGCACTTCACGCATTGTATAGAAGTGGGTGCTATCCATAGATACGTTTGAGAACTACAGAGTCTCCCTTCAACCCGACAGCTCGTGGTAGAACCGCAATAGTAATAGTAGAATTTTGGAAAGTCACGGATTCTGTTCTAGGAGTGTGTGGATTTATAATGGGTAAAACAGTTCCAAGAGCTCGACCCCAGGCTCGAAGCAGACTTTATTACGTAATTTTCAATCCAATAAACGAAAGACGAGTGTATTAACATTAGCATGCATTGAAGAATTTAATTCGTTTTGCTTGATAAAATTAATAAATGCAATGTAATTGTAGTATAAAGAAAACTCACTGTGACATTTGTAGAAAAGATTCGTTTGAGCGATGTCTCCTTCGCTAAGCCGAAGCCTTTGACCAATCTCAGGACGCTTCTTTCCGTCCCTTTCCAGCGGAAGGATTGTATCTAAATATGTGCCCCTCGAAAATGTATTTTTCGCATAGTGCATGATCGAGTCGTAATCGTACGGTAAACCAAGTGAATTCACCTCTTCTTCCGTGAGCTTATTAAAATTGTATTCTTGACCTGTGAAGAGTACCAATAAAATACGTCATTTATCTGATTCTATAACAATATGTACCAAAGATCGATTAGGAAAAGAAGAAAATATACGAATAATATTTAAAATTTCTACTAACGTAGATTTAACTAAACTGTAGTGAAAAAACATGTACTGAACGTATGCCATTATTTTTCTACTTTACACTATTCTGAAAGGTTTAATGCGTTACCCTAATTTACTATTAGTTATTATTAACATTACAGTGTAGGAGAAAGTAGGGTAAAACAAAACGATTAAAACGGAACACTTTATCACAGTGCTTTGTTTATAGTCTTAATCGGTTACGTGTAATCGTATAGATGTAGATTATTATAGATTAGAATCGAAGATGAGATAAAAACTAAATGAAAAATTTTGTTTATAAATCATATATATTTACAGTTTATTTATATCAGTTAACGATTAAATATATTCAGCTATCAATTTTGATTTAGTAGAAATCAAGAGTTTGTATTATCATATGATTTTACCAGAGTGTTTCGTTTTACCTTACCATTTTTGCGAAGCGAATGTTTCCATACCTTAAAAAATCGTATTTTCCATCGTAACTAAATTTTTTTATTAAACAAATCTTTTATTTCCTTATAACCAAAGATTTACGTTCGATTTTCAAAAAGGTTTCATGCGTTCGTTGCTCCAGATACTTTGTTATCACGATTTAAAAAAAAAATCGTGCCGTTTTACCTTACTTTTCCCTACTAACGCTTTACGCTCAAACATAAATATGCCATACGTTGAAACAACATACGGCACAAGACCCTTTAGTCTGTTCACCTAAACTATTTAATCGTCAGCTAGCCACGTCAAACCAACCGTCCGACGTTAAATCATAGAGATCTCGGTCAACGAACAGACGCTAACTAACAGAACGCGCTACTGACGAGAATAAAGAAACAAAGGCGATCGATTCGATCGGATGTCCAACTCCTGGCGGCAAACAGCGCTCGACAGTGTCGATCGTTTCCGGTACACAACCGGGACATACGTCAGAAGGACGTATGTAGCTCTCGATTGTCGCTGCGCCGACATTTCTTGCATGGTCCGCGAAATGTTGCTCGATCGTTGCGAAACAGGCGCTACCTTTCAATTGCCATTGGATTATTGGAGCGATCGAAATGGCAGCCATAAGGTCGTCGCCCATTCGACAGGACAAATCAGCCCGGCAACGAACCAATATCGACGTATTTGCATTGTTTACATGTATTTTAGCCCTAGACAACTAAACTGCAGACGTTACTTTTGAACACTTTTACTTTAGAATTCACGAAAATCCTATATTCTCGTAAAACCCATTTAATCGTGAATTCGAAAAAACAACTAACAAGAATCTCGAACTCTTCTAATTTTCGTGAACTTGTAGTTTTTTTTAACTATGGAATTTAATTTCAAAAATCTCTGATAATGCTCGCAACAAAGTCAAATAATGAACTTTATACTCGATTAACGCAACCCAAATGCAGGTATAACATATTCAGGTTTATTTGAAGAAAGAAATAATTCATCGTTGAAAGAATTAATATCATTTTGATTTTGAAATGATGCGTATACTGGTCGAGCGTAGTTAACTGGTTAAACGTGTCCTAGGACAGTCGCACGTGCAATTTCATGAATTCGTGACGTTTCGTCAGAGGGTCCCGGCTCAAGGCATAATTTCTGGCTGAAAAGGAGGTGGGGGGCAAACAGATGGCGTTGGATCGAGCCGGCCCGCTAATTAAACAGCTCGTTACCGTTCCCCGTTATGAGTATCCATTAATCGAACCGTGATCGTGGGCGTCCGGAGACTGTCACCCAGCGTATAAATATTAGAACAGCGGCCCGGTTAGTTGTCATCGCTAATGATGGGTGAGATTTGTGCGATACCTTCGGCAAATTGGTCCATTAATCTAAAGCGGCGACCTATTCGCCGCGAAAGCAAACGCGCAGACGGACACCGGACCAGAAGTTAGCGTTAGGAAACTCCTCACGCTCTACAAACATCGATGACACTTAACACTAAAACTACCGAGCAGTTAAATTTACTTTTTCAAAATTTCTCTATAGCAACTTCAAGAGTGTATACGTTGAGACTTTAATTGATTTATAATTCAGTTTGCATATCGCTAAATCAATTTCTTTAATAATTTCTCGGAGAAACATCTGTTAATTATTAATCATTTTGATCCGTCTGGTAGTTTTAGTGTTAACGCGGTTAAAGAGCTCGTGTCATTTGTTGACCGCAAATATTCGATGCACTGAAACTGCGATACATTTTCATTCGTATATAACCAATTTTATTCTGCATCTTCTTTACGCGTACTTTGCGAGGTTTCAACTATGATTTTCGTAAAATAAAAATCTCAGATGGAAACATTTACTATACTTAGGTTTGTTTTAAAGTTATCTTCTTCAAAAGAAATTTTGTTCATGTACGATGAAGATATTGAAAATTTACGTAAACGATCATAGTGTAATATCTTATACAGGTATCATTTTTAAATTATTGTAGAGATGACAGAAAGATCAATGAAATAGGTAACAAGAATATTCGCCACAAAACAGATATTAGGAGTGTCCTAGGAAATCTTGAGAGTTCAGACTCTCGTGAGTCCTGTTCTCTGGGGTTTCAATAGTCCGAGAATATCAAGGGTCTCGAAGGTCAAGGAGTCTTGTTGATCCCAGAGATTCCGAATGCTCGAGGTCAGGGAATTTTCGAGGAACTTACTACTGGGGTAATCTGCGCACGAGTGAGAGGTAATGAATATTCAGTCTCTTGAGATTCGGGTAACACGCGTAGTATTTAATTAAATTATGTAAGAATTTTAAGCAGTTATAGTGGAAGCTAAAATAATGCGGACGCCAACAGCAAAAAAATTGCAATTTCGACTTCGTTTCCAAATTATTAACGATTAAGCTCCGCGAACAGCGGCGTATAAGTTAGCTCGTCCGCGCAAGCACTGACCTGCCTCACGTGCGCTACTGTTGGCGTATACATATTTTAGAGAGACCTTTAATCATAAATAATTTGATAACGAAACCGAAACCTCAATTTCGTCACTCTTAATTTTCATTTTATTTTTACGTGTATCCTTAATCATTAACCTCTTGATTTATAATGTCAAGTCTTTTAAAGCAAATTTAGTGAATACGAACAAATATTATCCATTTTTTTAACCTTTAAATATAGACGTGAAATTAACCTTAAAGTATGGAAGTCTAAAAATTACCGATTAATGTTAAGTACTCTCGTTTGAAGGAACTAATACGAAAATTTATTGTATTCATTTGTTTCTACTTATTTAAATAGCTCTACATAGGAATAGCGTCAACCGTATAACGAAAGTTTCACTGGTTTCAAAATTCACCATCAAATTGACTTTCTTTTATCCTCCTGGGGATATTCTAGGAGTGTATTTATTGAGATCTTCATTGGATTATAGTCTGTACATTATCAAATCAAGTTATTTAGTTATTTCTATGAAAGACACTTGTATTTTCTCAATGATTGTAAAAGAAGAAATCAGGAATAGGTCATTTTGATCTATATGGTACCTTTAGTGTTAATACTTAATGGAAGAAGAACTGCAATATCTAGTACGTAAACGAACACGTTGTATATTGAATCTATTGAGTGCAGAGTGGTGTACATTAGATCCCTTGTGTCGAGAATATCTTACAGGATCTCTTGAGAGCCGAGGTATTCGTATCGCGAATTTTACATCGTAGGCTGTGTTTATTGTGCGATACTATGGGGACATTATCTTTTCTACTGTCGCCGAATATAATGCTGCGAGTTTTATTGTCTCGCATATGTTCGCATTAGTAAAATGGAACCTCCGTAATGCGCATACATTTATTATTCTCAGTTAACATATCCTAGCGTATTTTATTATGCAAGTTATGTTTATAGGAATTTTTATTCCTACGTCAACCATTCGATAAACTGTCTACAAAATAAAGGTAAATAAATTAGTTGATGAATATTTCTTAGCGGATGCAGAAACAAAATATATAAAGTTAAATATTCGAAGGAAAAAAAGTCGAATTTTGAATTTTAAATTTTAAAACCGGTCGTTTGATCGGTTCGAGGTATTTTAGAGAAAATCAACGTTCCAGTGTAGATCATAAATCTTATTGTCCTAAAAGAAAGTGAATTATACTTACTGGATATATAATAGACAATTTCACAGTTATTGCAAGTTATCACGTGTGTAACAATTATTTGCTCACAGAATATTTTTCGAAAATTTAACTTTCCCATGCTTTTGTCCTACACGTTGTAAAGGGTGATCGAGAATTCCACTCACCGGACATGATATTGTCACGAAAAATCTGTACATGACGGTCTCGATCGGGTCTAGTGTGTTCGTGCCAAAAGCCAACGACGTGACCCAGTTCGTGGACCACTATTCCAAATTTGTCGCAATTTTTTCCAATACTTATAGCCTGCGGCCCATTTCCTCTCTTCCCGACGAACGAGCAGCATCTGGAATATCATTTTCCGAGTACAGCCAAGTAAGTTGCGTTACAACAGGGAGCGTAAATATTCTTAATATTTTTAAACATCCTTTGTCATTCTTTTAATCAAAATCCTTCATTTCTTGAATCATCCATTGTACTAGACATATAATTTCGAAATACGATCGTTTTTTATGTTCTTTAACTAATACAAAGTATTCATCCATTTGCGGTTAAAATTTTACATTTAAAATCAACACGTCGAGTGTCCACGGTAATCTTTAAATTAACAGATCTACAGCCATGCGTGAATAGTTAAACATATTAGACAAATATTCCCTTGTTATCATCATTATATCACAAAAAAGTATAGAATTATAAACACGATCTGTCGAACCTGTTTAAAGTCATTATACACCCAATATTAAATGATTCGTTCAGAAAGCCGATCGATCAGAAGCTTGTAACTTCCGACCATTCACTGAACCTGTTAACTGTACGATTTAGTTCAAAAGTCTCTCGTTTCGCGCGCAATAAAATCAAAAAATGAAGTGTCTACTTGTCAAACATAGGACAAATGCGCCCAGGGTATATTTCAATGAAAAACCAAAGCAACACGATGAAGAATTACATGTTCATCTGAAAAAAATAAACAATTCATCGCTGAAAGGGTTAGTATCATTTCAAGCCTTAAGAAGGCGCGTGTACTCGTGAAACGCAGTTAACCGGTTAATTAATATGCAGCTGATAACAAATCTGACACTCCACGAACCAATCGAATTTCGCGAAGTGCCAAGTATCAGAGGGTCTCCGAGGAAATTTCGGTAAACAAAGGGTTCGTTTAATTGATGGGCGATCTCCGATGAATACCAGCTCCCATTAGCTTCCATCTTCCGCGGGCGTTCGCTTTCCCCGTGTCCGGGGCCAAATTTACGGCCACGCGTTGGCAAACTCACCCGCACGGCCTCTCCGTGAACAGTATATAATTAGGATGCTCCGCGGGGACCCTCTCGACGAATTTCACGCAAGTGAAGTTCTCCCAGTGTCTCATCGCCTGTTTGAACAGCGCTTTGTGCGCCCCGGAAAAATTCCCGTCGATCTCGTACGGTATCACCCCGTGGTCCCACACGCGCTCCTTGCGCGCCGTCGCTGCCCTCCTTGTCCTGCTCGGGAAACCTTGCCGCGTGGTACCCCGCTTGTTCGCCAGGTACTTCGCCTTGTGCTCCACCTCGTAGAACTCGATCGAACGGAGCCGACGGTCGTGCAACGACACCACCTCGTCCGAACTGTCGTTGACGTTGTCGGGTCTAATGTCCGGGACCTTGCGACGTCGATGCCTCCTTCTCGATAATCTACGACAAACGGAGATCTTGAGTTAGATCATTGGACAAACAGAAATCGTGCGATAGGGGTAGGTGATATCGAAGAAAATGTTGAGATCTTTTATTATAAACATGGTTATGTTATTTTGTAAAAAGCTGCCACGTTCTAAATGTTATTGATGCTTAACAAACAATAAGATATATTTATGAAAAAAAAATATATATATATTTATTTATACGGAGAATAGTTAAATAGGTTAACGTAGAGGATTTTGTATAATACTTAAGGAAATTGAAAATATTTGACAGTTTCAATGTCAACTATGATCAGTAGAAATGAATACGCATTACTTCTCACGTTCATAAATTATATTTACGCAATATCGTCTATAATAATAGATTATAATAATTAAGTAATAATATTTATTTATGTTAAAAACCAGTTGTTCGCTTTTTTCGAAAAGTACAAAATTTTGAGTTGTGACTCTATTAAAGCAAGGAAGCAATATCTGATTTAACAAGTTGATCGCTAAATCAGCAATTATTAAAAATTCCAAACAGTTGAAACTATGTTCTTAATGGAACAGGCACTGAGAAATCAAAGTTTTTCACAACGATTCCTCTCCTAATCTTCTTAACATTAAAAACTGTTTAAACACATAAAAATGTAATTTCGATGGTTCGTTTCACATTAGCTCTTCTGATTATTCTCTTATGCGAATGATAACAATACCACTATATGTTCGTTCACATTAATTTTATACATTTTAAGCCATGTTCCAAATTTCCTCCACGTAGAAACTCTACATTACAGATTCCATCGTTCATCGAGCAGCTCGAGCAATTACAAAAAGCCCCAGCGTATCAAGCAGCGTTCACCGAACAAAACCCCATGGAACCACTCGCAAAAAGATGTTTCAATTAAACGAAACTTTGATCGACCGGCAAACTTCCACCCCGTCCTATCGTAAAATCATAACCGAGTTACACTCTTTTTTTTTGATACTCTCATCGAAGCGTCCTAAAAAAAGAAATTCTGAGTTAATTTCCACACTCTATCCTGCATCCTTTACGATCTGTAACGTTATTTATACAACACGGAAGACGTTGAGTCGTTCCTCTTTTTTCAATCTCTTTCTACCATCATTTTCCACCCTGCAGAGAAAAAGGAAGCAGAGGAATCCGGTCCCGTTTGAAAAAGAACGGTTCCACCCCCGGAAAATTTACTCGCCACCGACATCGAAACGTTCAACGTGAGAGAGCTCGTTAAAAGATCGGATAGACTTGTAAAACCGGAAAATTTACGAGGTAACCGTCAAAATGTTTCACGTTGTCCAGAATGTAACGGACCTCGTTCGAGGAAACAGCTTCCCTCTTATTAACAGTTTATCCGCTGCAAGCCTATTAATTGGTTTTTAGATTGCGAATACTGAACAACCGATAATATATTTAAATTGCGCTGCTCTGAAACGAAAGAAGTCAAAGTAACATAATGAGATTCCGTCGTATTAGGTTGTAGTTGGAACTTCACATTTAAAATGGCAAGCTAAGCTTGGAAGATCAAATGTGTTTGTTATTATCAGTCTCTAAGGTATTTGAGTTCAGTATTTAATGTACTTTCGATTATTATATTGTATTCTGTTCATTTATCGTATTCATTTTGAAATCCTTGGAATTTGGGGCGAATCGGATGTCTCTCACTTTTCAGTTTTTTGCTCATAAAACAGAGACTTTTAAGTTTGAAAAAGTTTCCTCTATTGATATTGAAGCCGAATGTCTATTAATAAGAAATTAATAAAAGATAGGTTGATTCTAAGTTTTAAATATTAGTTTCTCGCTGTTAAATCTGAACCGATCCGATTCGCCGAAGAAAAATTACTTTTCTATCATGAATTGTGGCACTTCGGAGCAAACGTAGACATAGAATGAGCATGAAATTTTTAAATTTCCTTATGAATTCTAAATAATAAATAAAATAGTTCTGTCGCGCGCAGTTTTGGCAGAGATCGTAGCGCAAGGAGTTGCTATGAATAACTGCTAAATAAGAAAACTGAGACCAGACATTTTGACGGTGCGGTAATTCTAGTAGTAATACGCTATCTGCGTAACATTGAATATTGCTATCGGAAGTTCCCGGTTCACCAGTACTCCCTTGACCATTATTGTCGTGTAAATAGCAATTTCCGCGATGCGTACCGGCCCGGTATCTGATCGTAAAATGATCAGACGTTTCAACGGATAATCAACATTGGTCATTGTTGTTGACTAAGTAAATAGCGGCCAGATAACCACCGGTACAGTTGACCGAGCCAGCCGCCGAGTTCGGAACTCGAATTCCGGCAAAATAGTTCACCGCGAACGCGGGAGTTGATACAGGACCATTGTGTGCGTGCTGTTCACCATCCAAGTATCCGGCACCATAATTGGAGTATAGTCGGGAAGGAATTATGAATTGCAGGAATATACGTTGCCTTCAGTCTTTCACTCACAGTGGAGCACGAAAGTGTTCGTAGGCTCTGCGGAGAATTGTCAGTATTTTACCATTTATGATTTCGCGAGAGAAAATTGTACAATAATCTGGTTGGGATTGTTTTCAAGCGAAAAGCTTTTAATTTTATTGTCCCTACTCTGCCATCTTCAAACTTGTTTTTTCAAGAAGTGGCAAGTACAAAAGTAACAGTATTTTTTTGTATGTAAATTGTAAAAATTCAAATGTCTTTAACCCCTTGCGTGGAAATGACGAGTCTTACACGCACGTGTTTTCCGTGCGTAGCTTGATTTTGTAATTATGTTGTTATTTTTTAAATCTAACGTATCATAAGCAAAATAATTGTCCTATATTCATAAATAAATTTAAATGAAGCGTCAAAGTTTCAGATTTTTCTTGTAATAGTTATGTCCACAGTGTTACGACAAAATTGAATAACTTAAGTAAAAACACTCGGGATGAAATAACTCATAAAGCAAGGGGTTGAATGATACTGAATAATTTTTGTATAAATAAATTTACTGCGGTTTTGAAGATTGAAGTCTACTATTTCCAATGATTCCCTAGAACTTGTTGTACAAAATACACAAAATGGAAAAATATTATATTAAACCATTTAATTGAATTGAATTATTGTTCGTCTAGCTGAATGTCACGGTAACATTATTTATAATACAGAAATATCTCCCAATAATCATTGTTTAATTGAGTGAACTATAGTAATTCACTCAATTTTGTAAAGAAAATTAGTCTACATACTTGCGTAAAATAGGTAAAAACAAAATTCGTCGCACAAGACTTTGACAAACCTCTGAATTCATCTTCAATGAATGAATCAAACCAACGAATCCTCCCGATTTCATGGAGTGGTGGTATAATAAATACTTTTATGAGCAACCGCGCACATCGGGACCAAGTAAGTGCTGAATACACGATTGTGTAACCCAAAAAGAAATACAACAGAGAATCGGTAGAACGAGTCAGCCTCAAAAACAGCTGTTCACGGTATAAAAATGCACACGAAATGCGCCAATAAAGCGAGTGGATCGCGATACACGTGGATCAAATGCAACACGATTCCACAGTTTTTTACGATATCGGTTGAAATTACTCCGGCCGCGGACCAACTAGTTTTTTTCCGGTCACACGAACCCGTAGGCACGGTTTCCTTCCATTTTCCTCTGTTTTCCTCTCTTCTCAACGGCAGCAAAAAAAATGTCATAGATAACAGACAATTGCCAGGTGTCAAGCGTCAAATTTGATGAAACGCTGAATATTCATGGAATGCATAATACCATCCCCCGGAAAAGTTCAAAGCTTTTTCGATGACACACTTCTTTCCGACAAAATTACGAAGGAACTAACAAAAGTTCGGCGAAAGGTGTAATACGCATTTCATGGAGATGAACGGTGATCAACGGTAGGAAAAACAACTTCTGCTCTGAATCAATTTATGGACGGTGGTTTTAGTGATTTCTTAATTATCAGATACAGAAACTTTTATAATTGCTTTGCAGCTTGTGTATCTTTTTAGTGGGAAGGGTAGAAGTTTCTTTGGGAACGTTTCTCAAGAAATTTCTCCGATGTTTAAAGCTGTGATTTTGATCATTTCTACCTTTAAGTGTTAAAAAGCTTAAGCATATTTGCTTGTGCTTCTTTAATTACCGGACGATACAACTAAATTACACTTTAATACTTACAAAAATATATTAAATGAAATATATTTATTTACGAAATACATTTAATTGTGGAGTTGATAAAATACTCCAAGCGTTAAAAATGTTTTCTCGCCGATCTGAAATTATCAGAATCTTTCATACCTCTATCTCCAAAATTCCAGATCTAACGGCACCCTTAAACTCTCGAAATTCTCTGTTATCACCAAAAAATCTGCAAACCAAAAGACCCTAAACGACTCTCAAAATCCAGGAATAATTTCGGTTTCTATTTTCTTCGATCTTCTTGGTACTCCGGTCTAAACAAAAGTATGCGCAGAATCCTTGAAGCTGTCCGGACGCTCAAGCAGCACAGTACTGGAAGTTAGAATTTATTCTGAAACCTTTGAAACCCTCGAATGACTCACCAATGCAACGATTTTAACACTATACAGTTTCAGGTTTCGGGACCCTAGACATCTGTTCTATCGAATTTCACGACCCAAAGAATCCATCGTATCGAATTCCATGATCCCCAGAGTTGGCAGTAATGTGCCCTACATTCCGAGGGATCTATTTGTACTATTGGGTCGCACGATCCTAGGGTTATATCGTAAAATACTACACGGATAATTTTGGAATTGGCGGAAAGTAAGGACAGGAGGATTACCAGGTGTCGGTGTTACAGAGAATAGGTGCCAAGAGTTTGGCGGTCGGCAGCAACGAATGTCACGACTCTAGGATAGTCGGTAAGACCCAGCTAAAGTGTTCGACAGTATCGTGTCATTTGTTTCGGGATCAACGTTATCGGATTCCCACTTTTTCTGTGCTTTGTTAACCTTCTTGCCTTCAACCATTGCCTCTTATACGTGATACAAGTTTATTGA